GAACAGAAAAACCATACAATACTTGACATGGTGAGAAACATGCTAAAGGCCAAATGTATGCCAAATTGTTTTTAGGGTGAAGCTGTCTCATGCACTATATACTTGTTGAATAGGTCACCAACAAAGTGCATTGATAATCTTACTCCTGAAGAGGCGTGAACTGGTTATAAGTCAAGTGTAAAACATCTCAAAATGTTTGGCTCCATTACTTATGCTCATATTCTAGAAGAAAGAAGAAAGAAACTTGATGACAGAGGCGAGAAGACAGTTTTTATTGGCTACAAGTCCAGAGGTTACAAACTCTACAACCCTATTACAAAGAATGTGGTTGTAAGTAGAGATATTATGTTTGCTGAAGAAGAACCTTAGAATTGGAATTTGGAAGCATAAAATGATTCATGGCGTACTCTCTTTGATATTATTGAAGACATGTTCTTGTTGCAACTGAAATGGCATCTACGACCAATGCTCCTGAAGCACCAACCTCGCAAATATCATTAGAAGTTGAAAAACCAAGAAAAAAATCACCAACCATCAATTCTCTTGAGAGATTATGAAGTAACTCCAGATGATGATATTGATGTAGATGGAGATATAGTGTACTTTGTAATATTTACAGATTGTGAGCCGGTCATGTTTGAAGAGGCTTTTCAAGATCCTAAGCGGATAAATGCAATGAAAGAAAAGATAACGGCGATCGAGAAGAACGACACGTTGGAGCTTACTAATATCCTATAAGGACATAAAGCAATCGATGTGAAGTGAGTTTTCTAGACAAAGATTAAGGCGAATAGCGAGGTTGTGCGGAATAAAGCAAGATTGGTGGCGAAAGGCTATGAGCAAAGGACTGGTTATGATTACCAAGAGGTATTTTTCCCTGTTGCTAGAATTAAAACTATTAGACTAATAATTGCCTTGGCTGCACAGAAGCATTGGAATATTCGTTAGATGGACATGAAGTCAGCTTTTCTTAATAGGTCACTTGAAGAAGAAGTTTTTGTGAAGCAACCACCTAGATTTGTGAAGAAAGGGTGTAAGCATAAAGTATACATGTTGAAGAAAGCTTTGTACGAGCTGAAGTAGGCGTCGCGAGTATGGAACAAAAGAATAGATTTTTTTCTTTCAAAAAAGTAGAGTTCAGAAGTGCCCCTCTGAGCATGCCTTATATGTGAAGATAAACAACTCTGGTGATATACTACTATTATGCCTTTATGTTGATGACTTGATATTTACAAGCAATAACGTTAGTATAATTGAAGATTTTAAGAAGTCGATGATGCATGAATTTGATATGACAGATCTTGGATTGATGTCTTATTTTCTCAGTATTGAAGTGGTTGAAGGCGATGATGGGTTTTTCATATGTCAAAAGAGGTACTGTAAAGAGTTGTTGAAGAAGTTTTAGATGTTCGATTGCAATCCTGTTAGAATTCCTTTGAGGTTGGTACTAAATTATCTTGAGAAGGTGATGGTGCACAAGTTGATCCTACTTATTTCAAGCAAATTGTTGGGAGTTTGAGATATCTCACATGTACAAGGCTAGATATAGTCTATGGAGTTGGTCTAATTAGCAGTTAATTATTTGGAGGCCCCTTGCCAATCTCATCTACAAATTGCAAAGAGAATTATGCGGCACCTAAAGGGGATTTATGATCATGGTTTGTTTTATTCTTCATCTAATAATTGTGATGTTGTAGTCATAGTGATTGGAGTGGAGATCATGATGATCGTAAAAGTACTTCTAGCTATATTTTTAATTTTGGCTCCGACATAGTTTCATGGTCATTGAAGAAGCAGTCTATTGTTGCACACTCAACTTGTGAAGCAGAGTATGTAGCAGCAGTGTTGAGTGCTTGTCAAGTAATTTAGTTGCGTAATGTGCTAAGTCAAATTCATATTCATGTTAAAGGTCCTACAAATATTTAAGTTGACGACAAGTCCGTAATTGATTTGGTGAAAAATCTAGTCACTCACTGAAGGAGCAAACATATTCATACTCGTTACCATTTACTACGAAACAATATTGAGAAGAATGAGATCGTGTTGGTTTATTGTAAGTCTAAAGATCAATTTGCGGACATCCTTACGAAACCTTTGAAGTTTGAAGCGTTTATCAAGTTGAAGTGCATGATGAGAATAAAGACTTTAAAAAATTAGGATTAATGGGGGATGCTGAAGTTAATCCTTATTCTAAAATTATTTGAGTTTATTATCTATAGAAATTCGCCTCTTTTATAAGAGTTTGTTTTATTAGGAATTAGTTCATATTATTTATCTATAGGCTTTGAGTAGTTTGGCTTTAGAGTTCATATCAGCCAAAAAAAAAAAGAGAGTATAAATTTAGTTGTTCTTCCCTTCCACTCTCTTCATATATCTTGATTATATAATTGCCTCTTTGTTAGTAGATGATCCAACAAATTAACTGATCTAAACAAATTCAGGATCAAAACTAGGGTTTCTGAGGGGGAATCTTGCCGTAGAGGAGAGCAGAGAGAGGAGAATCAGCTTCAGCCATGGAATGAGCTTCAGATGGCTAAGAGGCTTCGATTATCTCCTTCAAATTCTCAAGATCTCAAAGCAAGATAAGTGGAGAGAGATCGAAGCTGAATTGGATCGGTCCCCTTTTTATAGAGAGGCCCGGAGGCTGGAAAAGATTTCGAGTTAAATGTTTAATGTTGATGGGTTTGTGGATCCGCTATATTTGGGCCTACTTTTCGGGCCTGGCCTTTAATTGGGACAAATTCGGAGTTTAAAGTACTTGGCATGATATGCTAATACAAGCTGCTCTATGCGGTGCGTCGCGTGCATGTCTTAAGGTAATAAAAAACACTTTGGTTAGAAAATATGGGGATTGAGTAACGAGGACGTGTTTAGAGTTCTGACTTTCTGCTGAAGCTCTTGACACTACTAGAAAAATAAAGATTCTCGACGGATCAAATTAGACGGACAAATTTCTATCTAGTTTGAATCAAACTAGACAGTCATTTTTTCGTATAGATAATTCCGTCTTGGTTGGCTCAATCTAGATGGAAAATTCCGTCTAGATTGAAAACCTAGACGGAAATTTTAAATTAATTAAATATTAGTGTGGGCCCGCCATCCAAGACGGAATTTCTACATACCGTAAGTTTGTAATACAAGCACGTCCTTTTGAAATATGATTTCATATTGTACTTCATGTAAATTGAAATATAATTCAATTTTGTGTGTCCCCGAACAAACTTTGTCTATATGTATATCAGACATGAGAAATATATTGTAAACACAGCAAAATCAATTTGTGCAAAATTTTAACTCCTATATATTCTTACATCCTAGATGGAATTTCCGTCTAGAAAGCAACATAGACGGAAATTCCGTCTAGGATCACTATTCTAGACGAAAAATCCATCCGTTTAGGTGCAACCAGACAGAATTTTAAATTCCATCAAGGTTGACTTCCATCTAGTTAGATTAACTTAGACGGAATCCTGTCTAGGTTGAGTCAACCTAGACGGAAATATCCTGACGGACTTTCCTAGACGGATTTCCGTCTATATTAATCTACCTAGACGAAATTTTGGGCAACCTAGATGTTTTTTCCCGTCTAGATTGGTCGTTTTTCTACTAGTGTGATAAGTTTAAATGATACAACTAGGAGCAAAAAAACTGATATGCCAATACAAGTTATCAAGTTAGAAACATGATATCAAACTTATATTTTATGTTTATCAAATTTATGAATACAATTACTTATGCATTTGTTTTACCATTTCAAGCGACATTCAAATAAATTTCAAAGTCCTTTAAATTTGGTCAAAAAGTCCATTCATAAGGAATTAATGTTACTTTGTCATATATTAATTGTTACCTCACAATCCAATAAGTTACTTGGTTATTTTTTCACACAACAATTAAATAACAAATATAACTTTTCGCTTTCCAGTATTATTAATAATTTCTGACATGTTCCTCTTAATTATTTACCCATCCTCTGTCTAAAATTCATTACAGGCAACGTTATAAGAGTATAACGGGTATCCTTGTCCTATGAAGGGCCTATATATATGACAATAATGCCACTTAATCTTCATCAAGTGAATAATTAAACAGGCACAGAGAAGTCTCATAACATTAGTTGGCATGAGATCAAGTCACGATATTGCGTATAAAAGAATCTCCTCATATGACGAATAATACCTTGATGTTATTTTGTACTTAACATGTTAGTATATATGCTATTGAATGACTCCATTACAGCCTGATTTTGATTACATTTTTCTTTCAATATATATTTCAAGCCTTTGAATTGCAAATCCCATACCCAAGAGGATGATAAGCGATAACTATAGTAATAGTCCTCTCCCCTTTCTTTCTTGTAATACCAATCCTTTGTTTAAATCCTGCGGAACCCACGAAACATTAATCCCGTGAATTTGAAGAGGAATCGAAAGTTAACAAAACCTTGTAATTACTTTCTAATTTCTCATGCATTTCATCAACCAACACCAACCCAACTTAATTAATTAACTCGGCCAAATTGAATGTCTACTTGCATCTCTCTTTCCAATAGCAATCAATCAAGAAACCAAGAAAAATGTGCACTCCTCCTCCTCTTCTCTTAAGCTAGCCATGAAAAAGATTCACATAGGAAGACAATGCAGCGGTGGAGCATTTAATCCAAAAGAAATTAACCGCTACCAGAATATTAATTAGTTAGCTCAAAAATTTGCCCTATATAAACCCTCTTTAGCCTTCTTAATGTGATTGTATACAAACTCATGAAAATGGCTACTTGGTCTCTAGCTTGCGTACTCTTTCTTGTTGCTGTAGTGAATGGCGTCAATAGTGAGCCATTGGTGAAGCAAGGAGAGAATGGTGACGGAGTGAGGAAGCCGGAGTGGTTCTTCGAGTCCGGGCCGGGTTGGAATTGGAATTCCGGCAACGGGTGGAGCTTCGGGCGGTCGTTTACTTTCGGAAACGACGGTGGCGGTGTGGTGCGGGAGGATGGTGGGTATTGTTTTGCGAGTCGGCAAGGCTAATTCTGTGGCGGTGGCGTGTGGCGGCGTGGGAGGCAGGAGGGTGGTATTGTTATGAAGTCGGAAGGCTAATTCTGATGCAGTGGCGGTTGTGTGGAACGGTGGAGGAGTGTGTGTATTGTCTTGGTTGAGAAGGCTACTTCTAGAGGGGATAGAGATTGTTAGACAAAATGTGTCGCCGGTGGAGGAGTCGGAGGTGGAGCTCCCAGTGTGTTGGGGTGGTGCGATTGTTGGCGAACTGGAGTGTATTGGTGGCGCAGTGTGGCTGCTGCTGACGATTAGTGTAGTGTGCTGGGCAGGAGTAGCGTGACGGCAGCTAGTTGGTAGTGCCGAGGAATTGCAGGAGTAGTATTGGAGTGTGCACCCAGTGCTTGTTAGACTGTAGTGGAGTTGAGGAGCGCTGTGCTTTGTGGACTGGAGCTGCATGGTAGCGAATAGGCGGAGGCGGCGTACTGTGGTGAATTGAGGAGAGGTGGTGGTCGGTGGGGATTGGGACGGTCAGTGCTGGTCGGAATTGGTGGTGCAAGCGCGGAACTAGGAGTGAGGTGGAGTGGTCGTGAATTGGCGGAGAGTCGCCGTGGTGGATTTGGGAGGGTGTGTGTCGTGGTGAATTGGCAGAGCTGGTACTGTGTGGACTTGGAGGGGTGCAGGTGCTGTTAGCCCGAATTGGTGGACGCGGTGCGAATAGGAGGTGAGTGTGGTGGATGCGAGGTAGTCCGCGTGCGTGTGGATTGGTGGCGGGTGCAGTTCTCGTATCGCGAATAGGTGGACGTCGTGTGGCGGTGCTGGAATTGGCGAGTATGGCGGTCCCACTGTGTTGGAGCAGGTGTCCGTGTGGAATTGGTGGAGGTGGCTGCGAATACGCACGGTGCAGCGGAGATTTGGTCGGTCGCAGTGCCACTGTTTGGTGGCCCGTAGTGGATTGGCGGTGACCAGGTAGGATAGCACGGGAGGGTGTGCTGGCGGTGGTGCCGAAGGTTGCCTTGTAATCGCGCGCGGCGCGGACTTGCCAACCGTGTCAAAGAAAAAAGTGAACATAAAAAGCATAAGAAAGGAATACAAATCGGTGGAAATCACGGCAAAGTTGAAGGTGGAGGTGGTGGAAACAAGGGCGGAATTGGCGAATCATTGGAGAACAAGGCAGCTCGTATAGAGAAGTTGCCCTAAGTATTTTATTAATCATTCATCAAACTAGTATTTATTTGCTTGGAAATGCTTCGCCTGCGGTAATAAGGAAGCACTTTGAGAATTATTAATATGCTGTGTCTTTTTTGCATTATTTGCATTTGTGTTTAAGTATTTGATGTTAGGAAGTTTAAGAGGGGAAATCAGACTCCTAATTAATCTTTGTGTTATTGATAGTAAGAACTAATTTTAATCGTGTAATGCATGAGAACGTTTTGCTGTAAGTGAAAATTTTAGAGTTCTGTTTCGCTAACTAACATCTACCAACCGTGAAGATAATATGATAGCATTTCGCATGATGATTTCTCAGATGAGGGAGGTATAACACTATTTCGTATAAGTTTTTTTAATTTATTATTTTTATATGGAAATCTAACCCAAAATCTCGAGAGCCATATTAAAATTTCCGAACCACGACGATCACCAGCGGTTCCTTGCTTCATATAACATTAATGATAGCAAATTTTTTATAACACAACTTCGTAGAAGATAAGAGACATGATGGTCAGAGTCAACACTTTTCAACCCAATCTATGCTCTTAAAATTAGCAAACTCCATGTCCATTTTTTATTTAAAAATTCCAATCTTTTCATCTGAAATTTTCATTTTCGGGCAAAACTCTAAAAAAAAGAAAAGAACAAGAAACATTGAACTTTGGGATAACACGGGCTATAAACATTAAAAAGAAAAGAAAACATCTCGTGCTTTCAAAAAATATATTCCACCCTGAAGCATCATTTTTCATAAAAAAAATATTCGCCTCCCCATCCCTATTTTTTTCCTCTCATTTTCTTCCTTTCATTATTTTCTGATTAATCAAAGAACTGAGTTTGCAAGAATATTCAAACAAAAACTTTTCTAAATTTCATTGGACTTTTGTGTAAGTCTTCAAAGTGTATAGGGTCATTGTTTAATTTTACGGTCACATTTGTTTTCTGCAAATAACCTAAAGTTTCGGGGGCTTTGTGAAATTTAACCTCCTTTCCTTCATCCAGAGAGCCTCTTCGCGCTCCGGAGCCAAAACCTCTCCTCTCTCTCTCAATCGCGACCCAGTGGATCTCAGCTCCTTCTCACTCTCTCTTCACGCTCCAAATTCGAAAATTTTCTAGGGTTTCTACTCCTCGATCTGTGATTTTGTCCGTGCTCTCGGCTTCGAGCTCCAGTTCGCGGGAAGCATGGTAGGTTTTCATTTCTCTCTCTGCAAAATTCTAGGCTTTGATTTCCATATATAATGAATTAACGTTGATTTTGATTGCATCTTGAGCTTTAGGGCCTGTTTGTATTTGTAGGGGGTGAAGGGAAGTTAAGGGAAAATGAGTGAAGGGAAGGGAAGGGAAGGGAGTTCCCTTCCCCTTGGTTACACACCAATTTGGGGGGTAACAATTTTTATACTATTAGGGGGTGAACCAAAGGGAACTAGGGTGAATTAACTTCACCTCCTAAGTGCTCCCAAACAAGGTGAATGGAGGTGAATGGTTCCCCTAACTTCCATTCACCCTCATTCCCCTCAATCCAAACAAGCCCTTAGTCCTTTGGGGCTTTGGGCTTTGCTGTAATCTGTAATCTGTAATCTGTATCTTTGTTGTAATCTGTATCTTTGATTGAAATCTAACAAATGCTCGTGTTTTATGCTTGTTTTGTATTTTGGCGTTGGCTGCAGCCTCTTAGACTAGAAATCAAGGTATTTGCTTATTTTCTTTAAAGCATTTGATAGGTTTTGGTTAGAAATTCGCTAATTATGACAATTGAGTCAGGGGAAACTTGTGCACAGGGCAGAACGAGTGAAATCGGTTGATCTTCATCCAACAGAACCAGGGTAATAGTGCAACTGTAGATGGACAAGAGCCCAACATCTCATTAGAGGCGGAGTTATAAGCAAATCTTGGAGAATAAGAAGTATTTGTGTGAACAATATCGGAACAATTAAAAGAGAGATTACACCGTGCGTGATTCTATTGAGGAACTCGAGTTTGTGCATGATATTGTTGATTGCCATATAAACCATGTCCATCATAGGCCGTGCGACCTCGACCACCGTGAAAACCTCGATTGTGGCCACCACGCCACTGCCCACACCCGTGCCAGCCTCCTTGCGCTGCTTCTGTTTGCTGGGCACCTACTGGGGGAGTCAGCTCGCAGCGCGCGGTGCTGCTGAGTACCAAACGTACGAGCCGACAAAAGCCTGATGACACCGGCGACAAGGGTTGAAATGAAATCAGCATATGCCGGCTCCTTCAGAATGCGGAATGCCAGTTGTTCAGGGATCAACTGGGCGCTAATCATCAAAGGTGACTTAGTGTGCCCAAAATAAGTCACGCCGTAATAAGATTCTTAATCACTATTCAATCCAAAAAGAATGTGTTGCTGAGCTCATGATCGCTCAACAAGAAATTAATCATAGCAAGCGATAATAACTTTGAGTCTCGCGTTAAATAGTCTACATGATTGATCACCCTTCTTGAATGGTAATGGTGCGTTTTCAATTCCATAATTCAGAGAAAGACTAGACAGGGCTGTTGAGCGGTCCCAATATCTGAAAAGGTTGCAAATCATGAATTCAACTAAAACTTCTCCGAGACAAAGTAGCGAAAAGCCACGACGAAGGCTGGTGATCATCCGAATCAGAGCTATAATCGAAGATTGAGTTGAGCGACGTCAGTATGATCTATGAGGACAACCCATCAACAAATCCAAGTAAATTATAAGACATTATATGATAGTGAACTGGTCTTCATAATTAAAAGTCTTCAACAGCTGTTAATTTCACCGTGACAAATTGGTCACTTATGCCCAGATCAAAGCCAAGTAAAAGATGAATTCGAAGAGCCAGCAAAGGGTAAGTCACCATTGTAACATAGTGATGCAAAACCACGTGCATAATTCAGTCATGCTGTCCTGAACTATATATTGATGACCCATTCAGTTGCATGATTGCAGAGACAAGGCAGAGTTATTGCTGGCTTAGAGGTTGGTCCAACTGAATGTATGGCGTCGTCGAGAAGGGTTGTTGTTATTGCAAAAAAAATAGGGGATGCGATTCACCAATGAAGGTTACGCAGTCATCGAGCAGAGACTTTGTATCTCGAAAAGATTATGAGTCGGGTTGTGGTGAACCGAAGAGACCATAGAGAGGGTCGAAGTCTAGAATTCTCCAAGTCAATATGATCTCCGTAGATAGGGATTTGTTGTCGAAATCAGCGGAAGTATTGAAAGTTGAGATTGGATGGTCAAACAAACATAAGATATACAAAAAAAAAAAAAGAAAAAAATAAATACAACCATAACATATAACAAAACAAAAAAAAACAGAAAAATGAACATGAAAGAACGAAGAATACACAAAGAAAAAAGATAGAATACGACGATTAGAAAAAAACAAAAAAAATCAAAGACAGTACATATAGAAAAAGAGACAACAATACAAAGAAACAAGAAAAAAAAAAAAAAAAAAAAAAAAAAGAGAAGAAACCAAAAAATCGAATAATAAATAGCGGTTATCAAACATGAAAGCATCTGAATACCAGGAAAGTATTGAGAGAGACAAGAGAGAAGAATTGGCCTAAAGAGGGTCGGTATAACCTAGCCGCCGATATATATATATATATATATTTTTATATATATCATTATATATATTATATATAATATATATATATATTATATATATATATTATATATATATACTATATATCTATACCCTCTATGACAATGATATATTACATCTTTAGGTCATAAAGCATTGTAGCGGCAATAAATTTTGAGAATAAGAAGCGTGTTTCATGTAAACTGGAAAATCGCATCGCATACCTTTTGTGATGCTTGAGCACTCCAAACAAATTATCATCCTTCTTCGTGGCCGCCCCCCTATGTTATTTTGATTCACTCTGATGTTTGGCAACCATCTATTCTATCAAATTTGAGTTTTCATAATATGTTTGCTTTGTTGATGATTGTATGTTGTTTACCTTTACTTTTTTTTTTTTTTTTAAATTAAGATATATCCTATGAAAACAATCAAAGTTTTTACTATTTTTTTGTAGCTTTCAAAAATTAGTGAGAACTTATTTCTTTTCAAAATCGATGTTTCAGAGGATAGTGGTAAAGGATTTGATTACAAACCCCCCCCCCCCCCCCCCCCGTCTTAGTCAAACAAATTTTTTTTTTTTTTTCTCAGTGCATGGAATTATTTTCTGCAATCGTGCCTAGACCAACACCAACAAAATGGCTGTGTCAGAGCGCAAGCATCGCCACATTTTAGATGCTCGTACTTTTTGGTTGATGCTCAGATGCCCATCTCAATTTTGGGTTGATGCTATTATACCATAGTATGTGAATAAATCGAATTACCTACTCCATTTGTAGATGGCATCGTTCATATCAATTGACGTTTTAAAAAGATACGTGGTTGTTCGATACATGATTATGATTTTCTTCGTGTTTTCTGGCTTGAATGCTTTCATGGTCTATTTCCGTTTTCTCTCATTGTGTTCTCCTTGCTGTGGCGTCAAAAATGCTGAGAGATATCCAACACAGCTCAAAGGAGTCATCCAAAAGCAAAAGAAACACAAGTATGACTGTCTCGCACGCGAGACAGTCTTGACGTGTCCGCACGCGAGACAGTCTTTACTTCTCGCCCCACGCGCAGACCGTCTCTCACTGTTCAGCTGTGCGAGGACGTTTTTTACTGCTCGCGTGCGAGACATCTTACTTGTTCTCGCCAGTGCGAGACAGAATACTTGTCTCGCACGGAAGACAGCTCCATCAAAGGATCAAAACCGCTTTGTAACTGCCCACGTGGCACTAACTGTTCAAGACGTGGGAACGTGTGGGCGAGAATCACGTGGATAACTGCCAATAACCGGAGTTTGAAACGTGGAAGGTGTTTAAAACGAAAATGCTGACGGTTACTATTTCCGAGACAGCGTTTCTATTCGTTGGGCCGAGACAGAACACTGTTCGGCAGCCGGGACAGCAAAATGCAGTCTCGCGAGCTGTTTCTGCAGCAGTTATAGGGTCATAAAATACCCCGAGCATTTTTGAAGGGGGTGGGGAGCGGCGGTGGCAGGCTGATTCAGATAGCTCCACAGGGCTGATTTCAAAGCAGGAGGCAGAATACTCGAGTTCTTTAACTCCTTGATTTCAGGCTTTGACTTGATTTTAGAAGAACGATATCTTACCGTTGATAAGATACTCAGTTTTAAGTTTTCTCATTCGATAACGAAGTCAGAATCATAAACCCCTCACGATTCAATCAGAATCTGTGATTTTGGTGTCACAGGCTAACGCCACCCCCGGCATGGCAAAGATCCCACGCAGCCGTATCTAAACAACGATCCTGCGTTGTGTTTCACAGAGTTGTATTTTTAGGTTGTTGTGTAAAGAAGTCTATGAAAAGGCTATCTCTCTTTTTTTGACATTATCATTTGTATCGACTGAAGATATAATTAATTCATGACAAAACCAACTTTTGACGCAACAGCTGGCGACCACAGTGGGAGCCAACGGTCTCGCTGCCGAGACGTCGGTTCTGCAGCCAAAATTCATCAAGATCCTGGTGATCAACGGTCCGATACGAGGTGTTGTCGGAGCCACAATGAGAGCCATTCTCTCGAGGATGAAAGGAATTTGAGTTATTTGTCATCCTCATCTGTAAGTCTTCCGCCTGAGTTGCCCTCGCCAGAGATAGACAATAGGTAATAGTTAATATATCATGCATATCGTTCGAAGTTTATGCAACATGAAAATACGGATAAGCCCGACGGCTCTCGAGGATGAGAAAGAACTGAGTTCTCGATTGTTGGATATGCGAATGCATCGCCCCATTGTTGTCGTCTTGTAGAGATTCGGTTACTTATGCGCGATCCACAGCTTCCAGTCTGATGGACTTCGACAGGATGATTGCGCTAGCCCAATTAAGTGTTGGTGAATTGTATAATAGATGTGTCACCTCGATTTACTCAGGCGCATATGGAGATTCACCACTGAGAAAGGGCTCGGTCAGAGGCGAGCCAACGCCCGCGCTGTCAATGTTTAATGAAGCATTGCGAACAAAACGACGGGTTCGATTCTTTGTTATCACTCGGAGCCTAGAAGTCGAGGGAGCAATCGAGTGGTTCAGTTGTTCAACTACTGTGACTTGAGTGTACGACTGAGTACAGAAGCTGGGTTATCTCTGGACAAAACGCTTCAATTTGGCATATCTGAAAGGAACATCGATCTTATTGTTTAGAAGCACATTCGTTAGCTGGAAGGCGTATGCAGCTGAAAAATGAACTAGGAGATTGTCTTGATTATCGGATTACAACTGATTATGTGGAATCGAAGAAGGTATTCCCACCGGAGTTCTAACCGTCATAAGCGCACCCCGGATGATTCGCTAAAACTTCAGTTTTGCAGATTAGACCTAAAAATCTCTAGTGTTCTAATATTGAGGAGTCACTTGCCCGCATTAGACCCCTGTAGTACGCAAGTTACTGAACGGTTACGGCTGTTACTCCCCTGTTAGTTCCTATATCTCGGCCCAGTAGACTCACTCTTCAGCTTATGTATACATACAAGTCCCATCTTGATCTGACGAGGTAGACCTCAACTATTTTTCGGAGAGACGCACTTGCCAAATTGGGCCATAAGGAACCAGCGTATAGAACTCGTGGCCAATGTCATACCTTGCATGACATGAAACGTACATTGCGAGGTTAAGTCAGGAAGTGGACCATAACTAAACATATAAACTAACCTCGGAGTCTCATACGAAGTTAGATTCCCGTATACTGATTGCTACCACTCATATCTCCGCCGTAATATAAAAGTTAGTGTTACGCTTACGTGACTGTCTATTAAACT